GGCGTGTGGCACCGCTGTCAAGTCAGTACGCATATCCATAAGTGTGTGTGTGTGTGTCTGTGTGGGGAGAGTTGTGGGCTGGAGAAACCCTGGAGTGTGGCGTGAGTGCAATGAAAAGTGGTGAGGGCAGTGCTGAGATGACACCTCAAATCTCGTATTTGTATGTATTTGTGGGATTCATTTTGGCAGGCCTTGGGTAGAACCACTACGCCCTGATTGTTTATCATTGGAGCATGACGCTAAACAATGTTAAACGAGAGGCCAGAAGAGGTCCATGTATAGAGAAATAGATAGACATAGTATTTTTTTCAGGGTCAGGTTCGCCTTTGCTCTCGAGACGGGAAACTGTGTTGAACTTCAAGGTGCATGTTTTTTTCGGATCGCCCCCGAACTTAGAGGGTTGACTGACCATCCACACATGGCAGGGTAACCATCCCGGTTGGGGTGCCCGGCTCGAGCCAGGCGGACGACATCTGTTTGGTCTTTTGCTCCTTGGATGTGTGGATTTGCTGGATCAAAGACCATCAAACCAACATGGTGACCCCGGAGCAGGCATGTACGCATACAGTATCAAATATCATCAAACACCGCGGAACATTTCGAGCAACACGTTACTTAGGTTGACTATTTAAGAACCGACACGTGACTCCAAACAAGGCAGTTTTGGACTGGATGTTTTGTTGGTTAGTTTATGCCACAAGTCACCATGCCTTCTTGAACAGAAGAACATGAGTTGTATCGTTTCAGAACATTGGTATCGCGTGTGAGTCATTTCTTTTTTGCATGGTTTGAATTCGGGATCATGACATATGTTTTCGTTTCACTAGAAGACTCTACCGTGCACTGCCTCTCGCCTGTCCTTGTGTCCTTGGAGGTTGCTAACGAGGTTTGAGCGACGCAGCCACATCGTTGACTCAACAATTCGTCGTTCGAACACTCAAAAGAACACGGTGCCCTCCCTTCACCTGGTAGGACCTGGTAGGATCTCACAGCCATGGGTCACAGCCATGTGCAGGTCGTGCTTGGACGCAGCCACATGCACCATCCCTCTCTCTAGATCGTGTAGATCGGGACACCTGCAGTATGTAAGATTATATAGCTAATGAGTCATTGAGAGGTTGGTTGCCTCAATCCACACGGCTTCAGCCCAGACCGTGTGTGGATTTCCATCGTTCGGTTTGTGAGGCAACGGTCTGGACTTCAAGCTGCTACCAGGAGCTCATGCCACCTATGACAAAGAACCCTTTATGCCTCTCTGCATATATTTGCGGATAGCAGAGGGAGATGGTCTGGCTTATTTGCAGGTTGATTGATATATTGTCGGGAGACGGTCGCTTGATGTGCTGGACGTAAAAGATCGCAAAAGTCGGTTGCCTGGGATCAAGACACAGGATGCATCCGCCAGCATATCTGAGTGTGGCCGCAAGAACGATGATTCTTGATACAGCTAATAACGGAGTCAGAACGCCATGTGGAAAGGACATCATTGCTGCATTTTGTTGGACTTACCTGACTTACCTTGCCATTTCTTGCTAAGATAGTGCCCCAGAACTGGTCTTTCGTGGGAGGAGATTCCTTCCATTGAAGAATCCTTGCGCCACCGAAGAGCATTGGGATACAGGGCACTTGATCCACTCGCCCGGCGCTGGGAACCCACTCCGATGGACATCGGAGGTCCATTTCGCTGGGTTAAGAGAGTCCGTTTCGACTGGCACAGGCCCGGGTGGATGGTCATGGCACCGAACCCTGGTTGTTTGCCTGAATGGACTTGGACAGTATCTTATCTATTGATATGGATATATAATATAACACATCATAACACAATAATATATATATATATATCTATATTTGTATCTTATGTATTATGGGTTGATGTTAACCCACCATGGGGCATTGTGTTGTTGGGTTTTCATCCACACCCATCTCATCCCCATCATCGCCATAAAGCCTGCGCAGCCTGCGCATTCGACGATGTTAGGAATGTCAGTGACGAGATTGAGAGCTTCGAGACCAATGGAGAGGCTTGAAAGTGGGATTGAGTACACCATAAGGAAAGCAACAGAATACATACGTGGTCTGGAGAGTTTGACGGATGCGTGGTATGACCATATGTGGTCAGAGTACAGAACATACGATGGTTTTGGGTGTTTGGTCTGGAGAGTTTGACCTGTGCGGTTGCTAATGAAAGTGAAAACACCTGTGAATGTGTTGGCAGAGACAATGCAAATCACACTGATATGGGTAGAGTACATGTTCCATGATCATAATCCCCCTTTTTGTGAATTGTAGGAGTGCTCGTTGCTTCTTCTATGAGGTCGAACCCTTTTCCCCATCTCTTCCTCCGCTCAACCAGCCCAGCCCCTGAACCACACCCAAGTTCTTGTCTTCACTTGACTTCTCCCAAACCAGAGCTGAAGCAAATCTGATAATGCCAGCTTTTCCCCACAGAGACTCCTGTTTCCAGAGTCCCATCAGACAACCAGTGCCCTTTTCTCCGGGGCCATGGATGGCAATCGTCATGAGGAGTCGTGTCTTTACGAGATCCGTTGAGGAGTAAAACCATGGATCTCATTGATCTCATGGCTTGGACTCTGCCTTTAAACAGATTTAAACATCTCTAACACATTCTAAAACCATAGAATCTCTGGCAAAGAACCCCTCCTCGAAAGTTGCTCTGCTCAGTTGGTGACGATCGGCTCCTTTAAGGAGGAGGGTCCCGCACAGCAGCCACCCGATGCAGAGGGAGATCACTTGGGAGTGACAAAAATGGAGGAGTAGGAACGGTTTCCAAATGTTTCCAATAGATTTGTCGAGAGGATACACACACTTTCTCTTTTCTATTTCTATTTTGGGGTCACCGATTTGTCTGGCGATGACCGGAGCTGGTCATCAGACGATGTCTCACGGTGGGACCCGGCTGGTCATAGGAACTCCTTAGGAGAAGGCGAGACAACCGGCAGAATTTGGAAACACAAAGTGAAGGGGACGAGTAGGAGCAGAGCAAAGGGCATCGTTACTAGGAGCAAGAACGCTACTAGGGGCTCCTGGCATCGCTACTAGGAGCAAGAAGCTACTAGGAGCAACAAGGACGAGGGCTCCGTGGGAGAAGGGCGACTCCGTGGGACTCCGTGGGATCACCGATGCTTGATCTGTTGGGCGAACTCATGCGCCTTCTCGGCCCGCCGAGACCAACAACAGCAGTTGTTTTTGGGTCTTTGGAGGGTTTTGTGTCGCAGGTGCAACTGGCTCGACAGGGGTGGTGATCAAACCAGACCATTTATTAATATTTTTTCCAAGGTTCTCCCATGGCTAGAGTATCCTGACGAATAGATTCTTGAAGCCTTAGAAGAATACTAGCAGCTAGTATTAGTATTCTGTTTAAGGCTTCAAGAATCTATTCGTCAGGATAGTTACTCTAGCAGGGCCAGCTCAGTGCAAGCATCCTGGGCAAGCACAAACCCGTCGATGAACGTTTCATTTATATAACCAGTGAAAGACGAAACATTGTTCACGCGTGCAGAAACTGTGACGTTTGACATCGTGGAACAGTTGTATGCCCATGTATGACCTACAGTATCCACTTTTCTGGTTCTTTATAGGTGTTCTTTAGTTTTCTTTCACCAACATCATCGATTAACCCTGGTTTTGCTCCCTGATGGATTGACCCGGTCACCGAGCGTCGATGCTTCGATCGACCGGAGGTCGGGTGCACGCGAGGGTTGGCAGCTGAATTTGGTCGAGACCTTCAAACTGCCCTCGAACCAAAGGTCCTTCGGCCAGCTGCTTGGTGGTCGTGCGCAAAACCGCTGGGGTGTGTGAAGTACGCGCGGGGTGGCTTTGCGCACATGACCACAACATACCGCAACACATTATCTAGCAACAATGGCCAACAACGTCTAATCACTAATCTGGATGGGGCACCTTTTTCTGCTGAGGGTCCTGAAATCATGCTCACAAGCCTATGGCACCAGCCTTCTTGAGCATCGCCCAGCTTGAGAACGGCAGTTGCATTTGGTTTTTAATACTCTTTGTATAATGGATGGCAATCTATAGAGCAGCACCTTGCAACCGTGCCCAACCTTTCAAAAGCTGCAAGTTACCTACCATCACCTCAAAGGGGGCTGCTTCCCAACCCCCTGCACCCCCTTTCACATCAACCTCGCTTGATTCATAAGCTTGGACTTAAATCCTAAAAATGGGCTGGCAACTTTGTATCTGACCGAATGAGATAAAATGGTGCCATGATACAGTTGTGTATTTATATACGTGCGATGGCGCTTTCTCTGTGTTTTGCCTTTTTGCGCCTCACATTACGAGTGCACTATTTTGTTAGGTCTAAGTACTGTTCTTGATCCGATGCTGTTTGACCATGCACCCTTATGTCAGGGTCCAGCAGCCGGTTGGTTTCAAGAGCCTCTTTCAAATCCAACCAGCTACTTGGTGAAAGCGGTGACTTCCCCCCATTGGTGTCCCATTTGCCCACATGTTTTGGCATGACTCGGTATGAAGCTTCAACTAACCCTCCAAAGCTTGGTCGTAGGCAAAGTGGACGACAGAAGAGCAGCCGAAGCATCTTGACGGACCAAACATCAAGATGTTTGGGGTCTGGACAATCACGGGAGCGATCAATACTATCCGGGTTCAGCCTGTGTACACATGCTAGTTTTCGTTTATTTTATATCTTTTTGACACATCAACTGGCAGCCCTTGAAGCAATCGAAGGTGACCCACCTGCCCCATGGGTGAGTATGGGATCGCTGAGGCTCAGCCGCCAGCAGGTCTTGGAGGATCCAGAGGCGCTTCTGACGCTTGGCGCGGGGGTGGCCCACCGTCGGCCCAGTGGACCGTTTTGGGGGGGGGTGGGCCTCCATTGCGCTGCGAGAAGGCGTGCACCCAAGGCCTGACACATCGTCGGTGAGCTTCGAGGAGATGCAGGGGCATCTCCCGCACGCGTGGAACGAGGAAAAGAACCACGTCGGCGCCAGCCGATACACCTGTTATTGGGATTGAATACTCAATGGGTCTTGAGTGGGGTCATTGGTGAGCAGTGTGAACTTCAGCAGTGCTTCCTTCCTAGACTCAACTCCCTGAAGCCCCCTCTTTCCTTTACACCACGCGGCTGGATACAGCAAGATGCCCATAAGATACCCGGTTGTCTTGGTTCTGATCCATAAACAGACATGTTGTCATGTGTGTTTTTTCCACCGTGACAATACATGATAACATTGACACCATTTTTTCCCAACAGGTGTGGGTCTTCGACCACCCATTCAATCCTTAGGAGCTTATCCAACGTGAAGCTCATTTTCGAGCCCCGTGACGCGGACCCCTAGCTGCAGTTGCGCACGACTTTGCTTCGACTAGGTGTGGGTACGAGCTTCTGTGGCAGTAAGGATGTCCAGTGGTGGTTAAATTGGTGTATATATGTGAATGTGTACAGTATATACTGTAATTTAATCAATCAGTCTCTTTTTGCCAGCAATCTTGATTCCATGGCACACACACACATGTGTTTTCAATGGCAGAATTGTGTTGTGGACCTTCTATCCGCACAGTGAAGACATTGTGGATTCTGATATGGGCTTCAGCCTCTTCAAACGAACATGCTCACATGCATGGATTGGGCATTTGTTGCAGGCTTTGTCTGCTAAAACCCTCTAAGCTTCAATGCTTTCTGGGTGACATTACCCCCCAGCCCCCCAGCTTCTGCAGTGACTGGGCTGCTGGTGCTAGCTGGTAGCCTCTATGTGGATTCTGTGAACTGCTGGCACTTCATGGACTGGACGCACCCCTTGGTCTCCTCGTCTCTCGTGGTCTCCGATGGCCACCAAGTCCAATGTGTGCTACCACGTCGGCTACGGCGATAGCAGCAATTTCCCGAGCGTCAGCTGTCCCACCAACAGTCCCTGGGACCTCATGGGCTTGGTGGGTGACTGGGCTGGGCTCGGTGATGAGCTGGAAGAGGTTCCGAGGAGGTCTGGAATGCATGAGTTTCAGAAACAAACTCTTACAGTCATGACTTGACCAACTGAAGTCGAAAAGGACAAACCGCTTTGGTGCAACTGTACCAAGAGGAATGGTTCCAACATCAGCGAATCAACTGCCAAAACAAACAGTTAAACGCTGGGCTCCACATCCCTCTTTCAGTGCCTTTCAGGATTTGTCCACTCCATCTCAGCCTCGGTCTCCTTTTGGAAACCCGTCCGCCCGTCCGCCCAGGCATCGAGCTCCGCTGGGAGACGGACGGCGACGGGAGCCATTCCGCCGAGAGCCGCTGGGGCTTCTTCGCACTGGTCACGCCGGACGATGGCCGGACGCCGCTCGGCACTGGTCAAGCCGGAGGTCAATGCGGACCTCGTGGGATGGGACAGGGATCGGGCAGGAATGGCAGGTGTGCGTTTATAAGGCCGTGTTTCTCCATTTTTTTGGGGGGGTGTAGGTGTAGGGTAGGGTAGTAGGAGGAGATTGTAGGGCCTGCGATGACAAACAAGTCAGTGAAACGGATGGCGCGTCACTGGGGGTAGCAATTCATGATGCAGTGCATGTAGCTAAGGGTTGAGGTTGCTGTGATTTGCTGTGGGCTTGGAAGGACTTGTCGTGCATGAGGTGTTTTCTGGGAGCAGCTGGGGTGGATCAAGTAAACCAATGTCCCCTATATAGAATGCCTTCGAAGTGGGGATTAGATTATGAGGTGTACAGATGTGTACCGTAATTCTTAATTAGTCTGGGCAAATTAAGGCGAGCTCACCTGACGAGGTACGAGGTAGAATAATTTCAAAACGAAAATAAGCGAGGTAAGTCCAGCAACAGCAGCAGCACAAAGGGCTTGAGCTTGTAAGGGCCACTGCTGGGCGTAGCTTCCAGGAGCTACAGGGACTCCATTCACCATGCCACACAGAAGCCGCAAGAAGACCAAACACAAAAATACAGCCTATTTTTAAGAAATAGGCCCGATTTCTGTCCCAAGCATGCTTGAGAGGAATTTGGCGGGTCGGGTAAGCGGTGAGAGAGCTTCCGGAAGTGACACGATCTGGAACGGGTTCTTGTGCTCTTGGAGCCAAGGGGTACAGTATGAAAGGAATATAGTAGATTATAATATGTTCGGACACATGCAATGGAAACAGCGCTGGATAGTGTAAGGTTGATCTCGGCTTGTAGAGGCCACTGTTGGGTGTAGTTTCCAGGAGCTACAGGGATTCTTCCACCCACCATCAAAGACAAGAAACAACCTATTATTAAGAGGTAGGCCCGATGAGTAGTTTGCACGTGCATGGCAGGCACAACCTCTCTCAGAGCACTCAGGCCTCCCCCACCAAATGCAGACGAGGTGAATGAAATTATTGAAGTTAAACGAGGCGAGATGAACAATTGCAAAAGGTGAAATTAAGACGAGGTACGAGGTGAACGAAATTAATGAAACTAATTTAATTCACCCAGATTAGTGCTGGAGATCCCAGGACTGACACGGAGACTGTTGTCATCTCGTGTTCTTCAGTTTCCCTTCTCCACCCTGCGACTCTTGCAGAAGCTGGGAATTCTTCACGTCTGCGCACCATCATTTCCACCGAACTGTACCCAAACCCGGAAGGGCATCGCTACTAGTAACAAGGGCATCACTACTAGTAGCTATAGAAACTACTAGGAGATCCCAATGGGATTGAACCGAAGCTAAGATCTTTCGCAGGTGCCCCGGGCACCGCATTTTCGCCTCCGAACAAGGCCGGATGACTCGACGATCAACAGCCTGGCGGACAAGTGGCTGAACGAGACACTCAGGGCACAAGGTCCCAAGGCTGGGGCGGTTTCACAGCCTTTCTGGCTGGTGGGAAGGGGAGAAGTAAAGGCGATTCAAGGTCATGTGAGGCACAGATGAGGAATTTATGACTGGGGCCGGTTTCAATCCAGCATCCATGTTTTTGAGTAGGGTAGGGTGGAATAATGCCAGAGCCAGCGCCTGTACCCAGTTCTCTTTCACATGCACGGTCAGGGTCGGATGATCGGATGGACACCATTCAACAACTGGAAACGGACAGGGAACGGGGTCTTGGACTGGGTGACTGGCTACTGTGTGCTCACAAAGACGCGCTTTTGAGTGATCAACCAAAGCGCAAAAGAAAAGAACGGTTTGAGATGCACATCGTATCACAAGCCTTTCGCAGGATAAGACTAGACTAACTATTGTTTATACATGCCAGTGCTGATCCTTTTCAACTTACAGGCTGGCTGGCATGGTTGACCATGGTATTCCGTGTGAATTCAACGGTGACCGACATGGAGTCCAACTCTTCCAACTCCTCCCCAGGTAGTAGGACAGAAGCTCCAGCGTCGCCAGGGCAACATCTCTGTGGAACCGGAAGATTGGGACGAGTCGCGACTGAGGCGCGAGCCATGCCCCGTCCGCTGTGGGGACGAACGTCCGTGGCTCTCTCTCTCTCTCTCTCTGTCTGTTTAGAGATGAGCGAATCTGACAGATTTGTTTGAGACAGTCTATTTTCTTGAATCGGTTCCACGCCTATTTGCAGAGATGCCGTACTGAGGTTGATAGATGAGAAGTTTCAAGGCATGTTAACTTTGTTATTATGCCCTGTTGGTGGTCTTGTTATGATAATTGAATATATACTATAATTTAGTAAAATATGATGTGTTTGGTTTATGGGACATCAACACCATAATCAGACCTAAAGGGTGGGTGGTTGTATGCAGTGTCCTACGCGGCGGGCGAACGTGCCTTTTTCGACCAGAGCCACGAACGCAGATTCACCGAACTGTAGACGTCTCAAAACTGAAGCAGTGGATTTCGTCTTCTCGAACGCAGACCAGTGCGAGGATGCTTTTTTGGATGACACCCCATATTATCTATATATTGTATATTGCTCTTGTACTGAAACGTGTTGGCAATGTGCCCGATGGCTACGGCTGCCACGTGTTTGAAGCCACCGCTGTAGCAGATTGGTTGCTCTCAGGGCGCTTTGTGCACGGCATGGGTGGCAGTTCGAATGGATGACCGAGGCGGGAGGGTGGAACGACGGTCGGGCGTTCTCGTGGTGAACGACCCATGCACATGCATATACATGAACTATCATGAACTCCAACATCAGTTCTATGTGGATGTTCACCTTTTGCATCCCTTCCATCCATCCACATCACTCCAATCACCTCACTCACTTTCCATGTTTCCTCTGTGGCTTCTCCCCCCGGTGGCTTCTCCCCCCGGTGGCGCCTTCGCTTTCCACACCGAGGAGGGCGAGAAGCGGCGGCGCATCGAGGGCGCCGGCCGTGCGAAGCGGGCGGCGGAGAAGGCGGCAAAGAAGGCCGGGTTCCGCGGCGAAGATCTGACTCACCCGATTGGGGACAGGTCTTGGAGCGGCTGCGCCGCGCGAAGAAGGAAGAAGGGGGAACCTCTTGCGTCACACTAACCTCTTGGGTCACAGTACCATGGCTCCGACAGGAGGCCAGCAGCAGCGCTGTTGCTGGCGGCGCTGCCTGGTGGCGGCTGGACTCTGTGGTGAAGGCTTTTGCCTTCGCCACCCGGATGCAGTGCCGTATCACTGGATGGTTTGGGACGAGATCGGGCAGCAGGGACAAGAAAACACCGAGCGAATCCAGCAAGGGCTGGCTTTTGGACCTCAGGTGAGTAGGTGAGAGTTGTGAAGCTCCTCCGAAAAAGCAACGTGCTTGGAACCCCCTATTCTACACCTGCTGCCTCAGTTTTCAAGAGATTAGACCAGGCCGTTTGCCTATACCGTAGAAACGGGAAAGCGAAGGAGCGGTTCTTTAAGTGAAATGGAACCGTGGCGGTGGAATGGGGGTGGCCCCAAGATGCGAACGATGGCGGCATGTGAGAAGATTCTGCCCAGGAATACTCTGGTGTTGAGAAAAAGTCATGGTGTCTTTTTTGTAGGTTATTTATTTACCCAGCCAGATACTTGTACAGTCAGGATGATCTTCTTTGTAAAGCAAACAAAAGATTCTCATGATCAAGAGGATGCAACACTGCAGCACCTTTCTATCATTCAGACCAGTGAGACAAACATGTGGAAACACAACAATGCACTGCAACATGGATCTTGAGAAAGGAACTCTTGATTTACTGTAGCTGTTATAACATGTAAAAACCAGAAGCTTCCAGAGAATCGATAGACTTATTTAGACTTGTCGTGTTGAATGATCCCCATTGGATGATGGTGAAGCAATGACAGCCAAGCGCCAGCCGAGCTGGGGTCACTTTTACACGGCCGTCCCAAGGGGAACAACACCCAGAACAAAGCCAAGATTCAGCCGCCGGGAAGCCGAGAGCGTGGCCGATGAGTACTCATGTGGAACAGCGATGGCACAGAAGCGGTAGATGAGTACTATTATAACATTGTAACATTGTATGTACAACCGCTTCAGGAATGGGTGTAAGTCTTATCTCTTGTAGTTTGAAACGGGTTTTGCTCCAACTTGCGGTTGGGCCATTGGCAAGCCATCCTGACATGCAAGATGTGGTCCCTAGGCTACTGCCCCGCTAGCCAGTCCACATATTTCTTTTTCTGCGGAAAACATCACGTGGGTTGCTGCTGTTTCTCTTCTGGAATCCTTTGTGTTTACATCAAGGCCACCGAAGCCCAAGCACATGATCGGAGACAAAGTGACCCAGGAAGGAGCTGCGACTCGGCCCGGTCAAAACCAGCGGCGGGACGTGGCACACAGCCACACAGCGGGGCGAGCTGGGCGGGCAGGGGGCGCAGCGGGGCGGAGCCACTGGGATGCCACTTCAGGAGACAAGACTCACTCTCTGGACTACTAGTAGCTTCTTGTTACTACTAGTAAGGCACTTGTTACTAGAAGCGATGCACTTGTTCCTAGTAGCTTCTTGTTACTACTAAGACATTCTTTGTAACTACTACGTTGCTGTGCGGGATGAACCAAAAAGGATCAAATGTACTGTGGTCCTCGGCCATGGCCATCCACTGAAATGTTGGACTGCGATGTGTCGTACGGGTAGGTTAAGAAACACGCGCACAGGAACTGTACCAAATGGCAAACATGACCTAGTTTGGGTAGGGTCCTTGATTCCCCACGCATGGAACAATTTTGTTGACTTAAGATGACTTAAGGGTTTTCAACAGGCTAATGCTGAGGATTAGCTGGACTTAGTGACCAAAAACAAACATCCTGGTGGTAGAAAAATATAGAAAAGATAGAACACGGATTCTCCCTACACCACCGGATGTAGAACTAATGGCTTTGGGAGAATCCACCATCGAAGTGGTCAGATGTGCTGCGAAGTCCTGCGAACCTGTTGGACATACTCGTTGGCTCCAACCCTTCCAAGAATGAGTAGTTCAACGGGTTGAGTTGAGATGAGAGGAGACCCGAGACTTGGAAATACTCGTTGGCTCCAGACCCTCTCTCGGGTCGAGCTTGAGACATTCAACAAAAACTCGTAGAGGGTGGCCCCAATGGTGACGCTAGTGTTCTCTCGGCCAAGGATCGGCCCAACGATTCCTGGCCCAGTTGGTTCGTGGGATTCACCGGTCGGTGGTGAACGTGACGGTCCTACATCGCAGCGACCGTTTTTCGTGGAAAAGACACGCAGCGAAGTGATTGTTGTTGTTCTTTTCGGGGGGGCACCCACCATCGGGAGCATCAGGGTGAGGAATCTTGGCGGCTGACCGCACCTTGTCACAGTGGAACAACATGAAAACAAACCTGTATCACTCTTCTTGTTTCTTGGTAGAGGCCATTAATTGACCCTTATTGACCCTCGTCAACCACTGGGTCTAGGGTGTGGATCATTATCCAAGCAAAATTCACTCCTTTTAAACCCACAAAATACCACCTGGGATGATGCCCCCAATCTGATCTGCACGAATGCTCATTGCGCTCGGACTCGCCCAAGGACCCCGCGGTGGCCAAGCTGAAAAGCGAGGAGGGCAGTTCCGCCGGATTTGCTTGGCTTCATTTGCTCCAGAGTGGTCTCGACTAGATACAAACGGTGTTCAATTCAGTACATTTCTAGAGGGGATTTGCTTTGTTGTTTTTTAATTTTGATTTATATATTGTGCTATATTCTATATATTGTGCTATTCTATATACACCCCCTTGAAATCCACATACCTTCTCATAGACAAGTTGGCAACACTTTGTGTCACAGGGGTGCTTGAGCTCATTTTGCCTGAAAATAGTGTTGGTGTTGGTACTGCAACTGCGTTCTCAGGCAAAGTTGGCTCAAAAGCAAGGGGTCAGCGTCAACATGCTGCCTAAAACCATCTACTCGTGGTGGTAAGCTCTGTGGCACCGTAAATGTAATGACGTATCTTAGCATTAATGGCTGACTTGGTGGAGGCAAGCTTTTTCAACCGAGTCAAGTGAGGTTACAAAAACTTGTAGATCTCAGCCAATGATTGTCGCTGCGCTCATGTCTACGGCCTTGCCTGCTCATGGGTCTGTATAGGTACTAAACCTAGTTCGTTAAAGCGATATGCATCCTTTTGTGCGTGGTAGCTTCCTCGACGCTTCCTGAGTTTAGCGACCTGTAGAAGCAATGCACGTTAGCGTAGAATTGCACGCATTCCTCTTTACTCACCACTGGTGCATGGTGAGACTGGCTCATCTTGTCATATCTCACGCTTCGCCTTGGTGGCCATGATGATGGCATGCGGAGTGCGACCTCTCCAATGAAGTTTGCGGCTTCCTTGTTTTCTGCCACACTGAGTGGTTCGCATAGATCTGCAAAACAGGGTTAGTTTTTTGTGCGCCAGCACCTTCGAACTTGCAAACCCGGTCAAGGTGTTCGAACATATGTAGAGGAAGTGCAGGAAGCACTGAGATCAGAGCCTGTCCCAGAGAACCAGGAGAAGGAGGATGTGTGTATTGTTGTGACAGCCTGAGTAAAAGGCTCTGTAACCCAGGTAACCCAGCTGCAACACGTATTTTTCCAAGACAGTCCGCTCAGTAGTCTCGAAAGCGCTTGAAGCATGACCCTTGCAGAAAGGGGGGAAGGTTCCAAACATGTCCAAACCATACAAACCATTTTGGCACTTTGAGCATTGCGAGCCCAAACAGTCAAATGAGCGACACTGAAAACCGCAGTGCGAGAATGAGAGAGCCCGACCATGGGATTAGGATGCGCTCGAACTTATCCAGGCTCAGTTGCCCAGGATCACTGGTGAAGCCGCTTCGGACCTGCTGGTTGCAACAATCCACGCCTGTAAGCACTCCATAAATTAGCGGTTACCCAACTATTGCTCAGAATGGTGTTGGGTCCCAACTTTCTTGCAGCATGCCGCTGTCTCCCAATTACCCTCTCAGAGAGCATTGGGGATCCCTGGTCCTAAGGACACATATATAATATTATACAATATATCTATAGTATACTTGTCTAGAAATACATAGGACATATAGTGACGGACAACCACTTAGAACTTAGTTTTTTCATCAAAAAGATAAGAGTCACATAGAACGAGGACGCCACACATAGAACAACAAATCAGCGTTCTAAGCCTTGCTCTTAGAACAATTGAAATCCCTGCACTTAGAACATATACACGACTCATATGCTAACGCTGCAACACAGCATCAGTGGATATTGTTGTCCTTAGGTTCTTGAGTGCTTTGGCATCGATACTTCTGCGAACTTGAGCCTCCACCCAGCCGGGCCAATGGTCAGGAGATGAAGTTGCAATCCAAGCTGCGCTAAGGCCTGGTGGGATACTGTCTAAGTTAGACCTTTTCAATGAGAAACCTGGAGCAACCCCGTTTTTGTGCGTATTCATTTGCAAAGAATGGGCGTGGGATCCTGGTGTGCAGTCTGACAGGTCTGTCTGAGTTCGTTTTTTTTGACATCCTTCAGCTGAGGGTCCACTTTCATTCGGCATTCTTAACAAGATACCCCCAGTGCCCAGCCTCCCGCAAAACACAGCAGATGTGAAACTGGACATCAACTGCATCAAGAGGCTACCACTATGACAGGACCGAAAGGACCCCAGTGGTGTTTCATGTTGCATTATTTTTTGCTTTCTGTTTCATGGTTCCATTTTTGTTTGAGTTTGGATCTTTTGTCTAAATAATTACGTTTGCACAAAACGTTTCCGTCTTTGGGCATATGATGCAGACCAAACATCCATGCTGCCACTCTTTTGGGCGATTTTGAGTTTAAAGGTCCTTAGGGTTCCGCTTGGAAAAGTGGGGCCAGCTGGTCCATCAGTGGCCGATCACCGCGTCTGCAGGTCCACGCAGTCGCAGCGAAGTTCCTGCAGTGAATTGCGCTGCACGTGCTCGAGCGAAGGTTCATAGTGGAGGGCGAGACGGCGAGACAGATGAAGCAAAAGCAAATCAACCTTTTGTGATCACAGTTTTGACTGCAACATGGGGCATCCGACTTGGCAGAGCTCGGGTTTCGTTTCTTCGAGACTTTCCTCCCATCCAGGGATCCTTCACCGAGCGGCTGGTTTTAACTCCTGTTGGTGAGGTGAGCCACCGCAGTGCGAGCTTCACCAAAGATGCGAGGGTGTTCACCCTAAGCCTAAGATCTCAACCGTTTATATGAAGGGTTGAATGAGGTTGACTTCATGAGGAACGAGGGTTCAGTCCAGGTCCTGCAGGTGGCCCTGGCCCTTTTGATGAATTAGTCACCAGCTTGTTTCGCTTGTTGATGTTGTGTCTCGAGTCACCGGGTCCATGAAACCTTCGCTAAGTAATACTAGTGGCTTTGTCACGGTGAGGGCCTCTACCCCCATGCAAGCATGGTTTCAAGTCTGGGCATAGAATGGATGGTTTTCACCGCTGGATGGATGGATCGTGTTTGAGTCTTGAATGTATTGTGGCCATCCTGGATTCAGACAAGATTTTTGAACATCTCAAGTATACTTAGGAGGATGAGTTCAGTTTTTTTCCAGTGATCTTGCTTACAATGGGAAACACCTGCCACTAAATCCTAGGATTTGCGGATTCTCTCATTGCAGAAGAGCTCGAAGAGCAGTTTCACATTCTTCACTCAGCACGTGCTCTACTGACTGGCTTGTGGGGGCAACTCAGGGCTTGAACAATCTTAAGATGACAATAGAACATGTGACATGCAGAAGTTCTTCATAATTATTGTTCACACATGGATGTGCTTTCAAAAATCGGACTGGGTAGTTTCGCTCCGCATCAAATGCTGGATCCTCGCCACGGGTCTCCAAAGGCACAACCAGACTGGCATCTGAAGCCAGACCCCATGAGCCCCAACGTTTCAATCGCCCCAAATAGATGAAACTCATGAAAACCCACGAAGAATCCCACAAAATGGCGGCTGGCAGCCCCGTCATTCCAGCATTCTGCAGATGTTTTTCAGTTCAATGTGAAAGGTCACTCCGGTAGGGGCAGCTGAGCATGAGACGATGGCTGTGCGTGCACGAACAATGGCTGCACGCTGGAAGGGCCTCTGAATTAGACGTGGGTCGTCTCCAGTGAAGAAACGACATTGTAGGGCACAACCCCGCGCCTCAGTTATGTCTGAATGTGTTTCGTGCCAGAGTTGTTCAAGGTGTCACGAACAATCCTCCTGCCTACCTGCTGCCTACCTTGTTTTCTCGGCAGAAAAGTTTCGATCGGAGCACGAAGACCTCACAAAGCTTGAAATTCCCCAAGATCTATTTCCTGTGAGTGTTGCACCTCAACTGATCCTCAACTGATGGCAAGGAGAGTGTTTGCCGTTACTGTTGGTGGCCAACATTCTGCACCATTTTGGAGTCGGAACCAGCTCTTTGTTACAGAATGAAATGGCTTGGGTATCCAGTATAAGTTATAAGGCCCAAGGTGGTGCGGGACGTCGTCCATCAACAGCACGTACTTCGAGCGAGATGACACACCCAACGTAATGCGGACTCCGAAAAGAGCACAATGTGGCTCGAGGGCGCAACGAAAGAGCAACGCCACGTGCGGTTTTGCGTCACCATCACGGGCGGAATCTTGGCAGGGATGGGGATGAATCCTGCCGAACAGAAAGAAATGACATGGACCTTCCATGCCAACTGGTCATACAGAGGGAAAATGAACACTCCCCCCCTCCCTACTCGTACTAGTAACAAGTGCATCGCTAGTAGCAAGTAGATCGCTACTAGTACTGTAACAATTTCATACAATTTCTTTTCTTTTTTCATATAGAGAGAATATGAATGAAATGAGTCTTCCGGCATTTCCAGAAACCACCTATCTTCAGCTTCGACTCTTGGTCTTTGGGGATGACGGGGTCGGGCTGGTCGGGCTGGTCGGGTGGAGGCCTCAGATTGATCGACGTCCGTGCCTCCTCCTGAAATGATCGATCGGACCATTGACTCCTAAGATGTCTCAAGTCTGTCATGTCGAAGTCTGTCATCTAATTATGTCTAACTGCTGGGTTTGGACAACACGACAGACAAATGAATGTGGATCCAGTGGATCTCCAGACTTCTCGTGGAAGAGGCCCAAGGACTTGATTGTATACCCCGTTGAACAAGGAGATGACCCCTCACATTTGGATGATGAACCATAATGAATTTGCACAGATCATGGAATAGCTTGGAACAGTTTTCACTTGTATTTGTTGCTTATATATATATAACATTATATACTTTTCTTGTTTAAAGCATTGGGCGGCAGGCCCAGGCGAGGCCCAGAAAGTGTCTGGTTTCGGGCTCCGGCGCTGCCAGGCCTGTCATCGTGAGTTGCAAGGAGTGCATTTGCAGCTTGACCTCATTTTTCTTCTGAAAATGGAACATCCACCCATAGTGAAGTCCATACGGTGACCAATCGATCGTCATGAGATTCCCTCGCACAATCAGATGGAATCGTGTGTATTTTTTGGGGGGGCAAATGATGCAATCTCAAGCCAAGCTGGTTTGATACTTTTGATCAGACCCATGGAACAGCCGGGCGCTCAGGAACAGCTTCATGGATATCTTTCCAGAGCTTACAGGCAGGTTGGGCCGACCTACGCTTTTGATTCGGAGCTGTTGGCGAGGCGAACAAGGTTCCGTGACAACAGCTGGAGTGGAAAACAGCAACATCAGTATGGCTGGTGAGTTGGGAAAGGGAAACAAAAGAGCTAGCAGATATGCACGCACTCTCTACTCTGAAGAGCACCTCTTTGGGCAAGTTCACTTGTATATACTCAGAATCTTGCGGATGTTGCTGTTGAAGCCGAAGTCGCTTCGCCGGAATGAGCGGGCTCTGCTTGCATGCAGGATGTGCGCAGAAGATGGGTGCGGGCATCTCCAGCTTGTTGGATCGATATCAGGAGGTCGCAGAGGAGATGCGAGGGATGAGATGGGATGGGTGGCAGGTTGTGATGGATGACGGTCACGCTTTGGTCCAGATGAATGTTGAACATAGACCCGAGGGATGACTTGGGGGATGTCGCCAATCAACAGACCAATACGTTAAAACACATGGAACCTCCAGTTGTTGGAGGATCCACCAGTTGCCCTCTCGTCACTCAAGTAAGGAGGCTTTTGTGATGCCATTCAACAAAGGAATACCACCAACTGAGGTTTTGTCCCAGTGATCCCACAGGAAAAGTATCGGACAACTATTTGCCAGTACTAGCTAGCAGCTAGTTGCCAGTACTTGCATCACTGATGTGTATTCTTGCTTGATCGAATTTGATTGATGTCTCTCAAGATTGCCTTCAGGGGTTTTCACTGGAGAGGTGGTTTGCCTCTTGAGTCATTCCGGCAAGCATCTTGAAGGCGATGATTTGTTTCAATTGTCACTTTCATCGACATGCTGGAACTCATGAAATTGAAATGCTTCGCCTGGTGAAGCCGCTCCGTCAAGCCGGGATGTAATAATATGATATAGAATTTGGATGTTTATAGATTCGTAGTAGTCCTGGTCCTGGTATCTGAGTTTTCACACAGTCTTTTTTTGTTTTTCCAACTGGAGCTGTCACAGTAGTAGTAACACACAACCTTCCTGCAACATTCTCATCTATACGCCATGGAAAAGTGGGATCCGTCCTTCATAACCGCACTGATGTGCCAATGGGTTGCCATAGTTGTAGATCATGTTGTGCTTTTTGCCAAAGCTGCGATCGGTAAACGTATGTTTTCTCTGAACCCTTTGGTGCTAGCGAGGCTGTCAGGAAGTTCGGTTCCTCCTAAGTAAGCAGGTCACTCTTCATTGCTTCGTCAGTCGCCTAGCATTCTACGCTTTTCAACATTAGCAACAGTCGGATTTGAGAAGGATGAAAAGGCGCATTCCCTACTTGTCACTAGAGATCCAGGTTTGATAACACAACAGGGACTTGGCAGATTAACCGGCTTAACCTGCGTTGCAGTATGGATACACCTTTGCCCCCCCTATATAAATTATATAAGTGTGTATTAAATTTCCTGCCTTCAATTCAACAGTTTGTCAGATGACGTGCATTTGGGGCTCATGAAAGCTGCATATGTTGAGCAGTTTGCTGTGGAAAGAAGGTGTGTGCTTTTTCTTTTCTAAAACATTTGCTTCTCGTCTCGCCTTTGCTCAACAGACCCTGGCCCCTGCAGTTGCAGCGTTTCAGCTCTGCTCCAGGAGAGGAAACGCCTCCACAACCTGGTGCTGGAGCTGAAGGGGAACATCCGCGTCTTTGTACGGGCTGGGGTGCTCAGAGAGTGGTGGGTTGTGGGCGTACAATACTTCATTTGTTGGCAAAGGCATGCAGAGGCTTTGGCAGTGAGAAGTTTAGTGGCTTTCTTCCTGTTGCTTTTGACATTTGGCATGTCTCAGGACCAGCGGTTCTTTTCGAAAGGGCCACTGCCAGGGCCGATTGAAGCAATTGATGTCAGATGATGGATCAAACGCATCAGCTCAACACCCCCAAAAATAATCCAAAAATGAGATTCTCGAAAGTCGATATTTGGACGAATTCCACACACCGTCAATGGTGGGGGTGTATTTCTCTTCCATCATCTTTGATCCGTACATTTCAGGCATCCTGTTAGACGATCCACACAGCCAGCCTGCACGATGTCAGCAAAAACTCCACTCGATGTCCTTAGACCGATGTCTCAGAACAGCCAGATCTAGCTCCCACCAAGGGTGAACGGTGAGCGTTGTTTCTGGCTAAAGCCCTCACCAAGGGTTTTGCTTATTGCCTTCCTGTGAACTTTGGTGATCTGAAGGCAAGAAGCGGTCGCCCCCCCCCACCAAGGGTGGCGTGGGTCTCAACCTTGGAGAGCAAACATAGAGCCCCTAAAGACAAAACGACATACTGTATATCAAAAAAAGACACATTAAAATAGAACAATATCCCCAACACATATAAACCCTGAAAAAACTACTCGATCAAATACCCAGCAGGTGCTTAAG